ATTGTTCTTGTGAAACTTCTGTTTTAACAAATTTCAATTCACTTCGTGCATTTGTAATTAAAAAAGAGTGTATTTTTTGCCATGCTTTCTAAACGTGCTACATTGATTCTAATATATCCTATAAAAATGTTTGGATACAATCACGTGACTTACAGCAATAAGTTGGTTTCTATTGATCGACATTGTCAGTCTGCAGTTTACTATCTCACAATACTAATACAAAAAAAAACTGAATTCAATTAAGAAAGCAGATGTTTTTGAAAAAATTAAAGCTTTTATCTATTTTAGTGTTAACACCACCTCCTTTGGATTATAAAGAGACAAGAATACCTTTATAATAATATTTGCCCATTTGTGCCCATTTTGTGAAAGATGAATACAAAGATATCACTTGTCCAAAGCCAGCTTACAGTAAAAATATGTTATAAAAGGATATGGATCAAAATAAAATTGACACCAATCAAACAAAAATCTCAAAAGATAAAAGATCCGCGAGTCGGTCACGTGAAGAATTGCTAAATCGTGAAAATAATCGCTAATTATAATAATAATAGTACAATTTACACGAAGCCAAGTCGTTCCAAACGAATAACATTCTATGGTAAAACGGTGGGAGTTGTGCATTGTAAATAATTTAAATTTTTATATGTATTACATATTTTTAATCAATTTTATACAACAAGATTACATCGTTTAAAAAAAAAAATTAATAGTAATAGTAAAATTTACGGTTTAGATGGTTGTCGAAATTTCAAATAGTAGTTACCCAACTTTAAACCATTATGACTTTTTTTTTTACTAAATAGCTCAAAAAATGCTTTCTATTTACATTATTTTTCATGTCTAGAAAATTGCAAAAATAGAGTTTTTAGTAAAAGTATCAACATTTAAAGATTTTATCTAGTATTGAAATTCACATGTGAAAACGAAATTAGCCAATTAAAAGGAATTTCGTCCAAATACTCTGTATTTGATTGGCTAGTTTCGTAAGAAATATATATATTTATTATAAATAATAAATAAAATTTTGGTTAAATAAGAAAAATCTACAGATAATAAGAATGATGGAATATTCTACATAATATTTTTTTTTAAAAAAAATTAAAAAGTCCCTTGAAATATTAAGTTAAATAATTTAATAAAATACAAAATTTTTTAATCCTTCAAAACCTTACTAAACTCTCAGAGTTTTTACAGTATTTCCAAACGCCATCGCCAGCCATTCAGGACACCTAGTACTCCAATTCAATTGACTCATTTCAGTTGCATCTTTGTGATATTTAGTGATGATAGGATTAGGTACAGATGTGGATGATAAATTTTTAATATCCCATATAAGAACCTGACAATCATCACCACCACTACATAAACTATTAGATGAATTTGGAGACCAATTAACACAATTGACTGTACCAAGGTGACCATCCAATTCAGTAACTGGTGTACCGGGATTTCTGATATCCAATATTATTACTTTTGGAGAATTCATATGAAAAGTTGCCAAATAATTTGCTTCTATTTTATTAAAACATAAATGAAGAAATGGTGATTGTGGCTGTTGTTGATTATGATTGGAATATATGTTATTGTTAGGTTGACGTGGTATTTCATAAATAATTGTGGACCTTTTTAATGATCTATTTATTCAAAATAGGATTTTTTAAATAAATTATTAAATCAACGACAAATTATTCTTAATAGATAAAATTTACCTTAAATCAAATAATCTTACACTTTCATCAGCTCCAACGCTCACAAAAGCATCAACTGAATTAGTAACAAATGCTACATCATAAACTTCTTCATCATGAGCAATTAAATGTGTTTTTAATTGTTTAGTTTCAATATTCCACACAGCACATGTCGTATCTATACTAGATGTAACTATTAGTGTTGGATCAATCTCATTCCAATCAAATGATGTTAAAGGCGCACCAAAGCTTTCTCTCTCCTGCAATAAATTAATAAAATAGACGATTAAATTTCTATTTTTTTTTTTTTTTGCAAAGAGAAGAAAATGATAAGGTTTTTTAAAACAAATTATACATTTATAAGTGATTCTCTCTCGACAAGTCTTTGTTTAAATCCAGAATAACGATTTGAACCAATTGTATTACTTTCGCCACCACCATCCATATCTTCAACGATTTCCCATATTCTTAAATAATCGCCAGTTGTCGCCAAAAGATCATTTAAACCACCCTAAATATTAATTAATATATTGGTTTTAACAATTACTACCACACCAAAAATAAATTCCACAAGAAATAAGAAACTACATTCATCAATAAACCTTATATGGTTCCCATAATACTTTTGTGATGGGATAGTGATAATCTGTTTCAGCTATTTTAACAAAATCAGAATTTGAATATTGACGATGATAATAAGAATCAT